AGCTAAAGGGCTCTGATATTACGGTCAGTGAGTTTCTAACAAAGTCAAGACAGGAACTTTTTGTGGCAGCTCGCAAGCATTTTGGCACGAAGAAATGTTGGACATCGGAAGGCACCATCTTCGTTCTCCCATCGGATGGTATTCGAAGGAAGATTTACACCCACTCAGAGCTGCAGCAGGTTATCACTCAGAATCAGAACTGCAAACAACCAACTCCAGAAGCAGAAGCTGAGTAATATTTCTTGTTATAGTCTTGTATTTTTTCTAATGTCAAATCGTAATGGACCAGTAGTATTTCCTTTGGTATGATCATTTCTGTAAATCATTTATAAAATAATCACTAAATGCTAATGCTCTTCAGTTAATTAATTGTTTACGGGTACATACATATTAAAATTTCATGTATCAAAACAAAGTGTAGTGAGCTGTCTGACTTGACATTTGTCAAAGTGTTATTTCTTTTTATAGCATTGACTCTCTGTTGTTTTGGTAATGTATTACGTTTCGTTCTACTGTAATGCCTCAAGTCAGGTTGTTATCAATTTGTTCATGTTTTTTGTAAGTAATTGCTTGCGACCGTCTTTGATTTTTATAAATCCATGTTTAGTTCACAATTAAGTACTTAGTTCCAATCACTGGTTTCGGACTCATCCGTTCAACTTAGGCACGTGGTGGAGTTTTTTATTTTGGATTTATTTCTTAATTTTAGAATTCTAATTTTATATATATACTTATATTTTTATATATATATATATATATATATATATATGTTTATATTATTTTATAGAAAACAATGATACTTAATGATACATTTTTTTCATGTTCGTCTGACGAGTATGGTAGTGCCGAAAGTAATGATTCATTTGTCTCTGATTCTGAACCTTTGGAACTTAAACTGTCAGAGGTGGTTGGTAAATCCTCGAAGTGTTTTACTGTAGTGAACATCAACGCGCAAAGCATTCTAGCCCATCACACAGACCTTCTCACTGCTTTCAACAACGGCGTAGTCGACTGCATTCTTGTTTCTGAAACTTGGTTGAAACCCAGTCTTCCGTCTTCATGTTGCTCTGTTCCTGGCTACAATCTCTATCGCAATGATCGTACTGGAATGGGTGGCGGTGGCGTAGGTATCTTTCTGCGTAGCCATATCCCTGCCCGAGCGGTCACTTGCTCTCCGTCACAATATACGGCATCTCTAGAATATATATTTTTGGAAATCACGCTTCACCACAAGAATATACTTCTTGGAGCTCTATATTGCCCTAGTGATAAAATTGATTATTTTAAAAATCTTGAAAGTGTCCTTTCTGACATAATCGTTTCATATGACCACATTATTCTAATGGGGGACTTTAACACCTGTCTCGTTAAAAATGACTCCAGAGCACATAAGCTTGTTAATATCCTTTCTTCTCTAAATCTTCATATACTTCCGTCTTCTCCCACGCACTTTCTTCCAAATTGTAGACCCTCTCTTCTGGACCTTATTATTGTATCTCACCCTGACTTAGTGGGTACTCATGGCCAAATGTGTGCTCCCTTCTCCCATCATGATCTTATTTTTCTGTCACACAAAGTGCGCCCTCCCAAGAAAAAACCTAAAGTTAGTCTTCTGCGCAACTTCCAACATATGGTTCTCGATCGCTTGAGGGCTGATGTGAAGGGAATAGATTGGTCTCCGGTACTTAACTCGAATAATATTGACGATATGGTTGAATACTTCACCACTATGCTTTTAAAAGTATTTGACATTCACGCACCAGCACGTCCAGTAAAAATTAAACATTTGCCTGCTCCTTGGCTCACACCCGCAATCAGGAAGGTGATGGGTAAACGCGACAAAGCCAAAAGTTGTCTAAAAAAATCACCTACCTCTGATAATCTCCAGGAATATAAAAAACTGCGGAACCTTTGCAACAGGATGTGCCGGGACGCCAAACGTAAATATGTGCACTCACAGGTCGAAAAGTTAGACCAAAAACACATCTGGAGTTTTTTGAGGTCCTTGGGTGTGGGAAAGACTGTTGACTCAAATTCAGTACCTGTGGATATCAACTCTCTTAATACGCATTTCACAACCCCTCCTCTCTGTCTGAACTCATCATCTAAAGCAGACACTCTCTTTTCTCTGACTAGACCCAGTACCCATAACTTTCCAGCTTTTTCTTTTAACATATTTTCTGAGGCAGATGTTGGGAAGAATGTCTATCTCTACTAAAGCCATCGGCAGTGATGGTCTTAGCCTTGACATGCTGCTTCCTATACTGGATGACATTGTGCCTATAATTACATTTATTATAAATTTCTCACTTCAGCACAATGTTTTTCCCACATCTTGGAAGAAAGCCAATGTCATACCCATTCCCAAGGTTCCAAATCCATCTTCTCTGTCTCAGTATCGTCCCATCTCTATACTCCCAATCCTATCCAAAGTCCTTGAGTCTATTGTTCATAATCAGATTTATTCCTTTGTCTCGTCTAATTCTTTACTTTGTCCCCAGCAATCTGGCTTCCATCCTTCACATAGCACTGTCGGAGCACTGCTTGATGTCACTGAGGACATGCGACATGCAATGGATAATACCAAGCTTACGGCTATAATTTTGCTTGACTTCAGCAGTGCTTTCAACTGTGTCGACTTTGACCTTCTTTTGGGCACTCTTCAATCTGCTAATGTTTCTCCTCCAGTTATAGAATGGTTTCGGAGTTACCTTTTTGACCGTTTCCAACGAGTGGTCTATAATGACTCGTGCTCTGACTGGGTACGTGTATTGGCAGGTGTACCGCAAGGTGGAGTTCTCTCTCCTTTACTCTTCTCCATCTTCATTAATAAGATCGCTTCTGTTATCTCTTTCTTCTCCTTTTCACTTGTATGCTGATGATCTTCAGATCTACCGACACTTTCCTACCGGTGAAGTTTGCGATGCTATTGCCTTGTTGAATCGTGATCTGGTCTCCATTTTAAGCTGGGCAACTTCGTTTGGTCTGGCAATAAATCCAAGCAAATGTCAGGCTATGATTGTGGGTAACAGCCGGCTCAGGAGTAGACTGGATTGGAATATTGTTCCTCCACTCCTCTACAACAATATTCCAATACCATACACTGACAAAGTTAAAAACCTTGGTTTGATAATGGACTATAACATGTCATGGTTCCCGCATATTGGTGAAGTTAGTAAGCATATCCATTACTCTTTCCACTCTCTCAAGCGACTTCAATATTTTTTACCATTTAAAATCAAATTTTAGCGCAATCACTCCTTCTTCCAATTCTCGACTACGCCGATGTCTGTTATCCAAATGAAGAGCTACTCAACAAATTAGAACGACTCCAAAATTTAGCCATACGCTTTATATTTGGTCTGCGGAAGTATGATCATGTGTCAGCTTATCGCTCCCTACTTTAATGGCTCCCTATTGGTCTTCGCCGAGATTTGCATATGCTTGTCTTCTTATTCAAGATTCTCAAAGATCCAAACTCCCCAGTATACCTGCGTTTCCGATTTAAGATTCTTTCCCCTCCTTCACGCTCTAGGCGACCTTGCATTACTAAGACGCTTGAGCTTCCTAAAAGTAATACCATGTCCTATTTGAATTCCTTTTCTTTTAGGGCTGCACAGCTGTGGAATAAACTTCCGTCCAATATTCAGGAATGTCCGACCATCTTCTCGTTTAAGTCTAAAGTTAAAGAACATTTTCTCAAACATAAATCTCAAACTTATTGAATCATTCTCACGAAGTATCTTGTTTCTTATAAGTATTTATTTATCAGGTATTGTATTTATCTCTGTATATTTATGCAAGTTTATTTATGTAGGTATATGTATCATGTAATGTATTATATATATGTAATGTGTATCGTATAGATATATAACTATTATTTGTTAAGTCTATTTCCTATAACAGTAGTAATAAATTATTTTTAGTTTAATTTTTATTGCACTTTCTGTTTCCCGCTAAGTTGTGAATCTCCGACACCACCTAGGTTGGTTGGAAGAGATCGCTTTTAGAGATAAGCCCACCTTTGCTTACTATGTATTTGACTATATGTTTTAACTATATGATGCAATAAAGAGTATAATAATAAATGTTTCTTATTTCTTATCATAATAATAATGTATAATCTCAACATCAATTTATCATATTTGATTATGACATGTTGTTCCTTGTTTATAGTTTTTTATTTGTATATTAGCTTGCTGATGTTTTGGGTCGACTATAAGACAGTAAGTGTCTTTAATAATAAATAAAATAAAATTCTGCAGGGACAAATGGCTTATGGTAACAACTCACCATCCTGTCGCTTGATCAAATAGGATTTATCAAGCCACACTGATCGTGTAACATTCAGAATCTTCTAGTGGAGGAGCTTTTAGGTTCTCCAAGGAGTTAGTAATCCCATCAAGATAATAATAATATTAATAATAATAATTTATTGGCACCATAAAAATTGTAAACAATATTTTATAAAATCTTACAATAATCAAACAATCATGTTACTGAATAAAAAATACATCTGCACCTGAACTAGGAGATCTGTATCTCAGGTGCAGCGCTCTTTATAAAAAAAATATAAACTGTTTTAGGATATTCCCAACGCATGCAGACATATTTTAAAGAAGTAACTAAATAATAAGTGTAAATCCCTTCTAAGCGATATAACTCCTGATCTCTCTTATTTGCAAATTGCAAGCAGGCAAGCAGGCAGGCTGCAATAGACACAAGTTCTGATTTCGTATGTTTTTATTTATAATCTGCAAGCTGACCATATACATTTATAAATATCTAGCTGTGCCCCGCGGTGTTACACGCAGTTTATTAGGGATATTGTCCCGCAGTAAAACGTAGCTTAAGTGTTAATCCAGGGTGTCAGCTAATTCCATACCAAATTTTATTAAATCGCTCCAGCCGTTTAGACGTGAAGAAATAACAAACATCACTCACACTCACAAACTTTCGCCTTTATAATATTAGTGTGATTTTTTTTATGCCTTCCTTACCTTGACGTTAATATTTTCTTTAGCGCTAGTCTCGTAAAACTCAACCCCAAGCTGCTCCGCGAGCTGACGGCCTCGCTCTGCGCTCACCACTCGTTCTTCCTCCATATCACACTTGTTGCCTACCAAGATAACTTGCGCGTTGTCCCACGAGTAAGTTTTGATTTGTGTCACCCTGAAACAAAAGGTTCTACTAAAGACATCAATTTAAGGACTAAAACACAAAAAATACAAATGCAAAATAAGCTTAAGATAGGAAAAAAAAACAGGGCAGTTAAGGAAATATGTTATTAAAAACAAATATATTCGGAACAACTCAGAAATCAGTAAACAATATATTCAAATTGGATTGTACAACTCTTTTCAATGGTCCAAAAAATGTTTTGCCTACCATTCGTTATCGGACATATTTTATAGCTGCGGAGAAAAACGATCGAAAAAAACTCCACACATTAAAAGTATGATGTAACAACATTAACAAATCGTTATGTTGTTGCAACGTCAATACAATCGTAATTTATTTCACGTAGAAAACCTGTAGGAATGAGTGAAACAGTTCAAACCCAATCATTTTTGTCTGTAATATCAGACACTTTGTAATAAGCTTTTTTAATAAGTGCGTTTTTTATACCTACCTATGAAATTTATTTATGGTTAACTCTTGGATATTGCTTGGGACTTTATTGTTTAAGTGAACACACAGACTTTTAAATGAATTATTGATTTTGTAAAGCCTAGTAGCAGGCAAAGTTCATTTTTATTTCTTGTATTACACTATGCAACGTGTCACATGACCAATAATAATTTTAAGTAATTTTGTCTACGAAAAACCGATGCCGATTAGTGTAGCAAATGGTGATAAGCTTTATACAACAGGTCGAGGTAATGTAAAACTTTTTTTACAAAATGAAGTAAAAACTCTTTGTAATGTAGAATACATACCAAAGTTGTCATTTAACCTCATGTCAGTTAGTGTTTTGACACAAAAAGGTTTTGAAGTAAAATTTTTATCTAACTTTTGTAAAATTTATGAAGATAAAACGGTGGTTGCTGTTGCAAAAAATAATGCTGGCGGATTATATAAATTAGAAACCGGTCATGCATCCATTCATTCTGTCAAAATGCGAACATACCGCTATGCCAGTAAACACTTCTTCAAAAACCCATGTGGAAGTTCTGTCCCAGGGTTTGTGGCATCGTCGATTAGGGCATTTGAATAGTCGCAGCATGAACTTACTCAGGAATGGTATGACAGCTGGAATCGACTATGATATGTCCACATGAGCAATGTATCGCCTGTATCGAAGGTAAGGTTACCAAATTACCTTTTCCTAAAAATCTTCTTCACGATCAAAGGAAGTATTAGGTCTAATACACACCGATGTGTGCGGTCCTATGCCTGTGAAATCATTAGGAGGTGCGAGATATTTGCTAACATTTATTAACGATTTTTTGAGGAAGACTTTTTGACTAAATTTGAAGACTAAATTTCTTAAAGACCTTGAAATTTCTAAACAAAAATTGTAGTCAACTTAGAAGCGGAATCTCCACGTCCTTATGAAAATAAAGAAAGTAGGATAGAATCTGAACAAATTCCAGATCCTATTGTTAACACTAATGAAAACATTGATGACAATGTATCATCATTATCATCAACTAGTAGCTCGTACGTAGATCATTCTTCAGATGTTACTTATGTTCCAGATAATTCATTTGATTCAGATGATTCGAGAACTGGACACGAAGAAGCTGAGAACTTATTCATATGTTCATTCTTGGTTGGCGAAGCCATTGGCACTGAAGAACCCAAGACTGTGAAAGATGCCTTAAATGGGCCTGAAGCAGAGCAGTGGCGAGCTGCTATGAAAGATGAATACCAGTCATTTCTAGATAACCAGTGCTTTACATTAACTGATCTACCCAAAGGTGCAAAACCAGTGAAAACTAAATGGATCTTTAAGAAAAAGAGAGGGTTAAATGGTGAGCTGTTACAATATATAGCGCGTCTTGTAGCCAAAGGTTTTACACAAAAGTACGAAGTAGACTACTTTGAATTTTTTTCGCCTGTAGTGAGATATGAAACTATAAGAATGTTGTTAGCCTTAGCTGCCGAGTATGATATGGAGATAGACCACATGGATGTTAAAACGGCTTTTCTAAATGGAGATTTAAATTTAACCGTATTATGGAAATACCGGAAGGCTTTGAAAAAGGCAAGGGAAAGAACAAAGTGTACCGACTACGTAAGGCCGTGTATGGTCTAAAACAAGCACCTAAAGCCTGGAATGAGAAAATAAATCGGGTACTCGTAAATTAATTTAATTTAATTAGATTATCTTAGGAGCCATGTGTTTACGTGTTGAGAAAAGATGATACAATAATAATCATCGCACTATATGTTGATGATTTGATCGTTTTAAGCAATTGTAAACAACAAAAGGCTGAAATTAAGCAACTCATGGTGAAGGAGTTTGTGATGAAAGATCTTGGTCCAGTTAACAAAGTTCTAGGATTAAGAATCAGAAAGCAAAATGGTAAGATTGTATTAGATCAAAATTCTTATATACATAAGATTTTAGAAAAATACAAAATGCAAGACTCCAAACCTATTGCGACTCCTATGCAGTGTCAAAAATTATTAAAGGCTGAAGAAAAGGATAACAGTTTGGAGTATCGTGAGTTGATTGGTTGTCTTATGTATATAGCTGTCTGTTCGCGCCCAGATATATGTCATGCTGTCAGTGTATTAAGTCAGTTCAACAACTGTTCTTCCGATGAACACTGGAGAGCTGCTAAACGCGTGTTGCGTTATCTAAAAGGTACGATAGATTACTGTATTACTTATGAGAAAAGTGGCTTATCTGTGACAGGTTTTGCGGATGCTGACTGGGCTTCTAACGAAATTGATAGACGTTCTTATACGGGTTATGTTTTCAAAATTGGTAATTCACTGACTTATTGGGAAGTAGGAAACAGCGAACAGTCGCGTTATCGAGTACCAAAGCGGAGTACATGTCGCTTTCGGATTCTTGTAAAGGGGCACTATTTATTAAAACTTCTTATAAAGAATGTAATAAAGATTTTCAATGACAACCAGTCTGCTCTTAAACTAACTGAAAATAGCATGTTTCGCGGTAGATCCAAGCATATAGATATACGCCATCATGTCGTTCGGGAGGCGGTAGGCAATCGGTTAATTAATGTAAATTTCTTGCCAAGGTTCGAAATGATAGCGGACATCTTAACAAAACCCTTGTCTGCAGAAAAACAACTATTTTGTAAAGGGTTTAGGCTTACAACGTAATTTGTCCAATAGGTAGATATCATTACGTTAGTTAAGTTTAAGGGGCGGTGTTAGAGGTGTAAACTCAACTTAACGTTGTCTCTGACACACGTTTCCTTAGTAACGTGAAAAACGAGAAGTCTTGGTATATAAGTTATACAAGCAGGTTTGTATTTTCATTTTCCTCCAATATTTCCTTCATTAAGTAATAACTCTATAACTATTGTTTACTATCAAAACCATTCAACGTTTATGCTATGGAAAATGTATGGTGTACGTATTTAGCACATATAAATGTTCATTAATAATTATAACTCAGGAACAAGTATTTATGCTTATCACACAAATAAAGCCCCCTAACGGAATTCCAATCGAGTATTTTTGATTCAGAAGACAGCATTGCCGTAACGACAAGCAATCTTCAAAATGCTTTTAAAATATGTTCATAGTTTTAATTAAATTTGGCAGTAACGAAGGCTATGCCTTGCTGACAGTCATTCTTCAGTAATTAATGTATTATGTTGGCACTTTATACACTGTGAAATTTAAAAATAGCAAATACAAGCAGCCAAGTGAAGTTAGCACTAAGCATAAGTAATATTTGTAATTTCGCCAAATGGAATAGATACCAGTGAAACGATTGCCAATGCACGTGAATAATGTAAACAGTATATTTAACTAAGTTAAAAATGTAATTACCAATCTTGAACGCTGTTAAAGCTCTCTTCGTTGGTTATATCATACATCAAAATGAAACCCATAGCGCCTCTATAATACGCTGTAGTGATGGTACGATAGCGCTCTTGACCTGCTGTATCCTATAAAACATAAGTCACAAATTAATAAGACGCAAATATTACTAAACAAATGATATATCAGAATTTACCCAAAACAAAACCCAAGGCAACAGTAAGTACTAAGTTTCCTAAAATTTGAAAATCAAGCAATGAAATATTTAAATAAAATACCTAATACATTAGTAATTACATAAAAACAGAAAATGTGTAATTTTGTGCAGGGTCTTCTCCAACACTTACTCTAATCCAGTAATAATTTTATTAGTTCCATATCTAATAACATTAATAACAATATTATCATTAGGTCATCCGTACGCCACCCACTGGTGAGTATAAGCGTCCGCCAAAGGATCGCCAATCGGTCTTGCGCTAATCGCATCCAGCGGCTTCCCGCAACCTTCACCAGATCATCGTTATCGTTATCATTTAAATAACATAATTACTTGAATATATTTCAATGATTCAATACGTTCTATTTTATACATAAATATTTAACTCAACCCCTTAAGCATATTGCTATAAATCCAAGATTCGAAGATTTATGTAGAGTATTGTAGAGAAAGTAATTGAATCGGATTAATGGGTATTTTCCTTTAATTTCAGACGTAAGTCACCCCAAAACTGGAACCCGACATAGTTAGCATCATTTATCGTTGATTAGAGCTCCATACCATGTTATTTGAAGCTTTTGGGATAAAAACAGGGAACGTCGCAACTTTTCCGTATCGGTAATAGAAGCCCAACAATGGACAAGCACAGGACGCTTTGCGAAATTATTACAGGCGATGAATTTAAATTTTATCAGGATCGCTTCTGGACATAAAGGTCCAACCGACACCAAACGTAGTGTTATTGACATGTGGCTTAATATGTATCCCTAACGGCAACCTCTTAAAATCACCGAAGAAGTATAAACAATGGGGTAGTCAATTAAAAGATACATTTACGTGTGGAGAAATGTAAGGATTCATACCCATATCTGAAGTTTGACACGTTTGTCATGTCTGAAGACTGTCTTCACTTTGAAGTCAATCCCCACGGTCGATACAAAGGCTGAGGTGAACGAGTCGTCCGCGTATCGAAACAAGAAACTGAAACAAAACGAAACGTTTGTAATTAATAGTTGCTTCCAATTTCACTATCACTAGTCGTGGAAACGGTGCTTTGAGTTTTTATGTTAAAGTTTTTTCTTTTATGCTTTCAAGGATATAAATCCTTTGATGTTGACTGCAAAAGTATTTATAAAACATACATAATCCTATTAAATGTTTAATTTTGATTAAACATTTATAGGCATTTTCGATAAGTCTATAATCCATTAGGGGAGACTTAGGTGAGTTGTGACTGAGATGATTTTTCCCAACCTATAATAATTAGCGAGATAGCAACAATGCTCTTTTATCGCTTTAGATACGTGCTTTTTCACTCCGAACTCGCGGGCGGCGCACCAGAAGTGGTTGTGTAATTACGACGTCTACGTACAAAAAACACTAAAAGTAAGTTTATCCTAAACAAAATTTTACTTAAAATAAGTGAACATGTGCTTTGTTATCTTATTTGTTCTGAAGTTATATGGTTATTTAAGTCTCAAAGCGTTGCACTGATCTCTTGTTTTTATTTTATCGTATTTAGAAAATATGAATTATTATTCAGACCAAGTTGTGATTTTGAGCACCTAGGAGAATTGTGACAGTCTGTCACAATTCTGCTTAATTTCCATCCTTGCAATATCCAGAATGCAAAGTCTGGTCACATGTAAATTGTACTGGAGGTGAGCTGCAACATGCTTGTTATAATTGTCCATCAGATTTAATTAAATTGTTGACTTAATATAGTCTCGAATATGTCAAAATTACATAAAAGACATAATTATTTATTTTTAAAATGTTAGTTAGTAGGTATTGGATGTGGCAAACAAAGATTAAATTACTTATAGCAAGAAAAAATACACGTTTCATTATTAATAATATGTGTTGGTGTTTGTTAATACTCAAATAGTTTAAATACATTTAGAAAATCACAAAACTCCGAGTAAATCCCCTGTGACATTTAGCTGCCGAGCGATTTATCTTTTGTGATTTTCTAAATGTAACGATGAAGATTTAAAATTAAAATGTGCTGTTCGCAGGAAACAGATTTTTATTTAGATTTTTTGGAATTGTAAACCCCTAATATAAAAAAAATACGGTGGTCGCGTAATTTTGCTGAAATCTGACAGTTAAATTAATATTTATAAAGTAAATCCTGAAAAAGTATAAATTTGAAACAATAATTTAATTAAAGCATTTATTTTTATGGCCTTCGTGGCTCGAGTGGTACATACGCCAGTTTTCAAAGTGTTGCCTACCCAATCCTAGGTTCGAATCCCGGTAGGACAAAATGTTTGTGTGATAAATAAGAGCACTTATATCTAAGTCATGGATATTTATATGCATTTCTAAATAAAAATATTTGGTATATGTATTCTATAAGTTAACCTAGAATCCTATAACCAAGCATTACCTTGCTTACCTTGAGGCTAGGCTAATTGGCGTATGTGTTTAAAGGATTTATTTATTTTATTTATTTTCTGACCGAAATATTTCCGGCATAGATAGTAAACTTCTATCTTTTTCGGAAACTATTCGATTCGACTAGGCCGGCTTGTTGTTGTAATCTAATTTATTTTTGTATCCAATTTGATGCTTAATTATCCAACAACGCAAGGTTAGGTCGCTTTTATAATCTGTAGTTATTTATATGGACAAGTAATATTACAGAACTACTACTTACAAACTCCTGCGTAATACGAATCACACATATTGCACATATAAGGTCCAGATTGCATACCTTTAGCGTACCTACATAAGGACAACATAAAATATATTATATTTCATTAATCCTCTTTTACTTCGGAAGAATCCTATTAATGATTACCCCATATAAGTAAATGTTATAAAGATAAAGGACTATGTTCTAAAAAAAATTACTAAGTTGTCAGACTTGCTTGAATAATCGTGCAGGGATTCAGATTGTCGATAAACCACGATGTCGAAATTAGAAAAGTGGAAAGAGAAGCACCTGTGTCAAACAGATACGATAAAATACGGTTTGGCAGGATCTACCTTCTTTATGTCATTACATATTCTTACTTCGAAAAGAATCGATATCCTTACTCCTAACACAGTAAAATTGTACAAGGTTTTTCAGTTAAGCTTTTAATATTGTAACGGTGTGATATAGCTACAACTTATGACGTTTAATATATAGTCAGGTTATACCCCTACATTATTGCATTTTAAAATGGCATAAGTAGTCCCCGCTCAACTTCCCTTGACAACAGCCGCCAATAGAATGCAGTAAAGTAGTCTCTTTCACTCTCATTCATAAAACAGATTACACCTCGCTCTTTAGCCTCTATGTGTCAACGGTGTCTACTGTCAAAATAAGAGATCACAAAATATTTTTAATTAAATTCTTTAAAACTGTACTTGTATCATTTCATTCACACGTTTTTCTTGTCTCTAACAGTTCCCGTTTATTTTGTTTACTATTTAAAAACACACATAGGACACGTTGTAGCAAAGTGTAGCCGCGGCGAGAGAGCATGCTCGACTGAATGCAAGTCGGGCATTTACCTGACTTTCGTATTGCCAAATTAGAAGCGTGACAAGCGTGTATGACGTATCTATAACTTTAAATATTGCTGCAACCTTCTCCTTGTTTTCCAAATTGAACCTTTTGTAATTTGAAAATGTTCGTTTTTGGTTAAATTTAATTTCGTCGAGTCTGTCAAAATCATTTTTATTGTCAGTCAACAGAAATCCAAGAGCAGTAACAATTTTTCGGGAGTTTTTAATTAATAATAGTGAAATACAATTAAAATGTTTGAAATGCCTTCTTGTTCCAATGTATTAATCGTTGCTGATAATTTTATTTTAATTACTTATTTGAGATAACAGCAGCCATCAATTAAGTCTTACATTTTTGCTTTTACAGTTACATGTGAGGCCAATAACAGTCATCCACTAATATTTTTATTAATACAAAAAGAAACAGTTTCGTACCACAAATATCTTAAAACATGTTACGTTTTTATTCAAATGATGTTAACATTTTGGTATGCTTAAGGATTTAAATAAAATAAAACTGACTAATAATAAGATAATCTCCAACGAACGAGTCAGTTCGATATTATTGATATTAAAAAAAGAGAATTCTGAATTTTAAGTTTTGCTTATATAAAACATTTGCACTTCAAACAGTTATCAGTAGATTACTGTTTAAAGTTAATTAAATCATGTTGACAGTGTAAGTTAACAATTTGCCAATGACAATTATTATCTATTGAACCTACTCTACTGCTGACTTATTTCGGTACTATAGTACCCGTGACCAAATTTTGGTCAGATAGGTATGTAATAAATAGTAAGATTATATATTAGCTATCTTAATACTAAGTAAACTACGAATAAAAAACTGTAACTCTTTGTGACAAAGCAACCTACCTTGTTTTTCCAACAGAACTATTGCCTATAATTAGAAGTTTGAACATGTAGTCAAAGTTCTGGTCTGCTGCATCTTTCTGCCATTTTGGATCACCACCGCCAGCCATCTGCAAAGAATTTTAAAGACATCATAAAATGGCACATTTTTCTTATTCCATTTTCTTGAAACCCTTCCGGTTGTTTTCACATCAACCCCCAAATGAATTCAACAAACAATGACTTAGTCGTTCTAAACTTTGGTACAACTTTGAACTATATTTGAACAACCCGCATCGGTCAAACAAGTTCGTAAGGACTTTAACAACTTTGCCCTCTCATGTTTTAAAATTAAATTTAAAATAAGATAACATTATTCTTTTGACAGAGTTATTATTTGGTTTTTACTTCTTCGTACATAATTATAGTGAAAACATTTTAAAATTTAATAGTTTTTAATTTTAGAAGCTTTCTTTGACATGACATTTCTGATCCTTTTCAGGCTCCGTAGTTTCAATACTGTTTATCATTAATGGGTGTTTCAACCCTAACTGTATTTCTTTTATTAAAATCATAATTATAAATCTCAGAGAAACAAATACAAAAGTATTGTTCTGTAATCTGAGATGTCATATTTCACGACATTCTTTCACAATCAGAAAGTTTCCTTGTTAGTCTTTATCAAAAAACGCTTTGAAAAATACCATAAAAAGGTTCCAAAGTGTTTACAAATTTAAAATTTTCATGTTATAGTCCTTCCCATCCCCAAATCCGAGATCAGAATACTAAATTAAATTAGTATAATAGGCTGTATAACTTTTGAAGGATATTATTTTATTGAAAGGGTATTAAAATGCACAGATTAATTTAGAATAAATTTTGTAAAATATATGTTTATAAATGAGTCTATTACCTCTTCGTCATGCTGTGAGTTTCCGTTATTAATAACGTTTGTTTCACTCATGGTTCAAACAAATACATAAAACCACATAAACCAACTACCTTCATCGATTTTTGTTTCACTACTGTAATGTTTTTGCATTCAGATACCGTTTTAACATATTCATTAATTTAAATTTTTAACTTTAATGCATCGTAAAAAGGTATGTTTCTGTTTGAACACATGTAGTTTGGTGATATCGGCAAATTCTTTATCAGTTTATACCTAAAAATACTAAATTAGTTTGTATTTCATGGGCCGTACGGACCAAATTCTTTCATATGGAAATAATGTGAATGTGAAACGATAGTTTTTAGATAATACCAGCATGTACCTAATTTGAATGTGCATTCAACCTTGGACAATGTCTAAATACGTTTCAAAAGTTTTTGGATACAAATACACAATCATCATCATCATCAGCCTATTAATGTTGCCACTGCTGGGGCACAGGCCTTCCCTACGGATGGAATATGGAGATTGGGCCATGACCCACCACGCGGGCCCAGAGCGGGTTAGCGGGTGCTAACGACTGCAGATGCAGCCGGGACCAACGGCTTAACGTGCCTTCCGAAGCACGGAGGAACTCGGGATAGTTTTTGGTCACCCATCAAATGACCGACCACTGCGAAAGTTGCTTAACTTCAACGATCGCAACCGCGCTTACCACTTGCGCCATCGAGCTCCTCTATTTACAAATACACAATACCAATATTAAACTATCATAAATTAATTTGTATTGCAATTTCTTACAATGAAAATTTATTAATACTTTTAACGTGAGAAAAAAGATTTATTTTGTCCATAATAAAAATAACGCAATTTGTTTCAATTTCAGTATACAATAACAATTAATCATCAAAATTGTTGTCTTCAAAAATTATATCTCCCATAGGCAAGTTATCAAAAACTAGCTTCACCCGCGACTTCGTGTTAAATTATTTTTTGGAAATGAGACCCAGTGAGACCCAAAATCTCTCTGGGATTTAAAGTACCCTATGTCTCAAATCAGGTAACGAAATACATGTGAATCCGTTCAGCCGCTTTGCGTGATTGATTAATAAACATCCAAACAAAACAATACAATGATATAGGTACTATTCTCTGTAAGTACAGGAATTTACAATGTGACTTTATTCAAAAACAATCTTTGCAGAAAGTCTCTTAAACATTACTTAACTTTTCCGATTAGGAAAGCTTGTCGTGGTGTTAGGATTTTGAATATAGGAATATCAACGCAGCCATGGAACTTTCTCGGGCTCTACCAAATTTAAGATATGTTTTAATTACTGATAACGGACCTCGTTGACTTTTATTACGGTGAATGTAGGTATTTTTTAATACTTTTAAAATAATCAAGGCTAACCATAAACTATGCTTAGCTAATCTGGACTGCCACAGATGGAGTGCCACCTTGTATTATTTTTTCTTCAATATAGTATAAAAAATACAGAAAAAAAAATTTTGAACCTTGCAAAACACAAAATTCGAGAGATTCAAGAAGAAAATATTACGTCAATTATACGTGATTTATTAAAAGTGTTAAATTTTGTTCTTATTTCATAATAAAACAGAAATTATTATAATCTGATTATGAAATAAAATAGGATCCAAAGCAGTAAATTGCTTATTAAAGCATCCTTAGTTCCAGCATCCACATTTGGGTACGGTCAGGAATTAGTTTACAATAAAATGAATAACAATTAGGATGACAATACGATGCAGTTTGAATATCTTTGTAGTGACCTACCTGTGTACGGAAATTATTTACCTTTATTCAGTCTTCTTTTATCAAATCGAACAGTATTAATATTTATTTTTTATCACCAGTCCTCCTCAACGGTGTAAAGTGGTACGTCACCTATATCTATCTCATTCACACACACCACGCAATGAAGGACCGAGTGCCAGAGTTTTACGCGTTTATCGATTTCTTGTGGCTGTTTTGCAGACTCTATTAGTTCTACACCGTTTTCGAATCCTTACAAAATCACTCCCACGATTCTAAGAACAGACCATGTTATCGACAGCTCTGCGTTTTTTAGAATGGAAAATCGATAGGTTGTCACTTATTTCGTAACTCACTCGAATATTATTATTACTGGAGCACCACTACTAGGTTATCTAGGACTAGGTTTTATTGGATACTTCCGTGTGCGTTACTTTTTCGTATTAAATAACTATTAGATTAAAAAATAACAATAGTTTACTGTGAGGGAGAATTCGCACTCACAGCTGTTACGTCCTACGACCTCCCTTTCACAGTGAAATGGGGATGGGAAGAAAATTAAACATGGCGTTCACTGCGCGCGCATATGCCCACGCAATCTGTCAAACTAACAAATAGATAAATCCATCGGAACACAAGTGGATATCATAATTTTATTGAGCTCATAATTTTAATTCACAATCTTTTAGAGGAAACTAAATCAAAACTGTTTTATAAGTCTGTTGCACTCTGAATTTTCCAAACAGCATTATTATCAAATACGGCATTAAAAATAAAGTTTCCCAAAAATCTGGATTAGTTGATCGACACGTTTAATGATTAATCGAGTAATGACAAGGATCGCGATGTTATGTACCTATCTTGTGGGTTTTTCTGTCTGAAGGTTCCTGAACATTTCAGTTACTATTTTTAGAATCGAGCATCTTCACTCTGACAGTATCTTATAATTTATTATTTATCCTTTCACTTATCTTTTACGCCGACTTGGAAGATATTTTTAATAATAAATACTGGTACAATAAAGAACATTTTAAAAATGATTGTTTATTTGTGTTGTATGTGTTAAAATTTTAGTTAAGCCCGTAATGATAGTATCTATTTTTTATTTTCAGCATTAATCAATACTTGGTTTACAAATATAAATACAAAAAATACTAGAAAAAATTCAACTCGGTCAAGGTTTACCCGGACAACAGAAGACGCAGGTTCGAGTCCTGTCTGACCTTGACCGAATTGATTTTTTCTAGTAAATATTCTATTCAGGTAGTGCCTTTTCTAAATAGAACTGTAGACACAGCAACGAAGAAGAACTTTAGCAGTAGTGTGTGGCTGGATAACAGACACTTGTTTTATTGCCATAGTAGAAAATTCTGTTACTAGTCAGACAGCTCAGAGAAAATTTGTATTTATAGTTTTCAATTAATATAATTATATGATTGCATAGAAATAATAAATATTTCCTTTTTTCCGATTATGCACTTGAGTAATACAATACCAACTACGATTGGCACTTGTAATATTCAGCACGGAGCCTTGACCCTTTGACCCAATTGCATACATGCGAACCAGCGTTCCCGTTCAATCTTGATATTTCCGAGAACTATAATAACTGGGATAATGCGTTCTCATATTCATTGTAGTCCTATTTTCATTGAAGATTTCATTATAAAACCTGATAAGTATTAAAACCTTATACTTATCAGCAGCGCCGTTTTTGACCTATTGGAGGCCCTGGGCATATTAGGATAATGGTCCTATGACCATATACCCCTATGGGTATGACCTCCGTTTGGTGATCTAACAGGAACTAGGGACTTTATATTTGATCTGAGGTGGGCCCCTACCGATTGCGGGGCCCTGGGCACTTGCCCAAAGAGCCCACTGGGAAAGAGGGGTCTGCTTATCAGGTTTTATAATGAAATCTTACGGCTGGTTGATAGACCATAAGTCCAGTCGTCCTGTCTTTTTAGGGTCTTTGAAACAGTATTTTTTAACTGATATTTTTGTTTTCGAGAGAGGTCAGAATTTAATTTCGGCCATGGCGCTTTGAGTAATAAGCCAATATATGATATTCCAAAGTAACCGATTTCAGGTTTTAATTATTGTTAGAAAAAAATGATTTCATATAAGGGGGGAGAGGGCGCTGCAATCGCATATTAAAAAAAAAACTTAATTTGGCGGTGGCGGGCCAAAAAAATGGGAAGTTTGTAAAAAATTAATTGCAATTTGAAGATTTTGATGCCTTCTGTCTATTTCTGGAAAATTTGAGCACTTTGATCCATAATTGAGACCAGGTGCGACGGTATAAATTCAATTTGACCCTTGAGTTTGTAATTCTCATAGATGTCTCACTAACGACTAGTTTCAAAAATCAAACTTCACTTATAGATAGGCATTTGAAAGCTTTGTTGCCTGGATATTTTCAATATTTACATTATATTATCAACTGTTTTACTGGAGGTTGATTATTCAAACTGTCCGTTAGAGAGACATCTATGAAAATTACAGTCCTTTTGGATTAATGTTTTACTTTTGCGAACGAATCAACCAACAGACAAGCAACAGACTGATAGCTGGAACAGTAGTAAATATTTGTAAGGTTTTCTCATAGATGGCGTTAACATGACATTTTAACGTTTTTTGAAATTCCTATCGATTGCTAATTATGAAATTTTTGGTCTTCTCATATGTTATATCGTACAATCTAATAAATTTATTTATTTATACTTTATTGCAAAACAAACAGCAATTGGCGGACATAATCCCATAAGGCATTCTCTACCAGTCGACCAGTAAAAGCGTGAGAAATCAAAATACGGGGGTGCAATATGGACATATGCTAAATAAACCAGGTAGGTAATATATCAATAGAATACACAAATATTAAAATATATATACAATACATACATGTAAATATATATGCTATATCTATGCAAAAAATACATAAACATACACATAATCATGCCAGTCAAATATGAGAACGCAGATTAATTATATTAAGATAATGCTCACGAACCAATCCCTTAAATACAAATTTGTTAGGAGCTTTACGAATATTAGCGGGCAAGTTATTCCAGAGTCGTACAGCCGTGATGGTGAAAGAATATGAGACGAAGCCAGAAGAGTGGACGGGACTATGCAGAAGGAGGTTGTCCGTTGAACGGAGGACACGGTCATGAGAATCACACAGAAACCTAAATCTGCTTTTCAGGTAAGCTGGTGTATGTGAATCGTAAAGAATATTAAAAAGAGCACAAACAACTCTTAGGTTTCTACTCTCACGAATAGGAAGCCATTTGAGTTAATGACGAAAATGTGAGATATGGTCGTATTTACGTAAGCCATATATGAAGCGAATGCAGTTATTGAGAAGACGATCCAACTTATTTAAAAGATTTTCATTAATATCTGGATAACATACGTCGGCATAATCGATAATAGGCAGAATCAAAGATTGAACAAGAGCAATCTTGGTGCGAATAGG